AGCTGCGATGGCTCTTTGACGGGCCTTTGAGGGGCGACATCATGGCCGGAGGAGCTCGCGGCGGTCTCCGATGCCTCCACAGCACCCGCCTGAACAGACTCTGCCACTCAAGTAATCGCGGCTGGTCCACGAAGCCGGACAAACTAGGAGTTGTGCCACCATGCGCTCCAGTTGTTGCTCCAGGTCCTGCTTGGAAGGGCCAAGACCTTTCGAAGCGGTGATCGTGCCAGGGGTAGTTGCGGCATGTTGAAACTGGCCTTTACCAAACGTCGCCCCAACCCAAACACCTGCGCCTCTGAGCGAAACCCATCGAAACCCAACACTCAGGTCCGCATTAGGGTAAGGCCTCGCGAACCGGCCCATAGCACGTTGCATTGCTGTTTTGCCGCATGTCCACATAAACTAATGCAAGTACCACCGATGGTTCATCGAAAAGTTAACTTTGAAAAGTTTTCCCGAGACTAGTGTATGCATAAATTCCCTCCGCCATCCGATAGCGCTGTCAGCTGTCCGGGCAAGTCTAGTCCATGACTTCCATGCTACACACACCCCCAGCCGGGACTCTGGCGGAAAGACTCGATCTGAAAGGTGTCGCCTGCAGAAGGCAGCGCTCCACTCTGGCACCGGCCGCATCCGGCAAAAGTGTTACCACCTGGCCTTGCTGCACGAGTCGGAAAAAGCCGTGGAGCTGTCGAGCTCGGCCCTGGCGAAACTGCCAGGCTCGGCCTCAACACCTCCAGCAAGCTTTTCTCAGGATCTCGCCAACAGGCTGTCCAAGTCTCCTGCGCCCAGCCTCAGCAATCCAGCACTCGAAGCAGCCGTCGCTCGTCATTAAAGAAAAGGGGCATCGTGCAGGAAACCCATCACAGGCAAGAGGCGTTTGCTGCAGCGCAGGCGGTTGCAGAAGCGCTTCGCAAAATCCTGAAAAGGCACGGGTCTAGAACTTCCTCGACAACGGCTGAGCCAGATGCCTTCGCCATCGCACAACTGGAGCCACAGACCCGCTCTTCCTGCAGTTCCGGCGACACCACTCGAGCTAGTCGCGTAGTCGCGTGAACCCGCTCCTGCATCCGGGCCGGCTCGGGCAACGTAGCAGCGGATGACCTGTCAAGTGTCAGCAGCATGCTGGACTGCTACACCCTCTCAACGTCCAGTGGCCTTGCCCTCCGCTCGACTGACGTTGCCTGCGCCAAACTGAAACATGATGAATCGCTGCACTGTAACATCTTCCAACAAGCCTGCGGGCTGAGCAGCAGCAGCAGGCGCAATCGACCTGCACCCGCGGAAGCCTCTTCAAGTAGCAGCTGCGATGGCTCTTTGACGGGCCTCTGAGGGGCGACATCATGGCCGGAGGAGCTCGCGGCGGTCTCCGATGCCTCCACAGCACCCGCCTGAACAGACGACCCAGCTCCCAAACGCTGCCCTAGCTGACCGAGACTGGTGGCTTGTGCTGCGCCTGCGCAAGCGAACAGAGAGCCTGTTGATGTCGCAGCCAAGCATAATGCAAGGGCAGCCCGATTCAAGAGTCTCTGCCGTCAGGCAACTTCCACATTTGTAGGTTCGAGGAGCAGCAGACCCCGTCTCAGCAGAGGTCTGTTGCCCAGGACCAGCTTGGATCCGGGAATGGCCTGATGAAGAGCGCAACACAAGCTGTCGGACCGCTGCGCCGGTTGACAATCAAGCCTGTCGCAAAGCAGCAATCGGCCGCCGCTCGATGCCACAGACAGCCTGAACACGGCAAACAGAACGCCCGGGTGATAGTGGTGAATGGTGAACCTAGCTGTAGGCAGGCCTGAATGCCATCTGTCAACAACACCTCACTCACACTCTGCCTTTGGACGGCTCCGAACCGTGGTTGAGTCGAACCCCACCTTCAAGAGTACCGGTCTTTGTCTGCCACCTTGTCTTCGGGAAACTTCCTTGCCCCAATCTGGTCGACAGGTTAGCATGACGATACAAAATCCATCAGTCCTCGGACAGCCCATCCTGAAAGTCCCCCTCCACTGAATCCTTCGGCCATGGCAGTTTCAGCCTAATCCGCACATGACCATGAGCTGAGGACGCGGCATCCGGAGCCGATGGATTTGCAATGTCCACCTTCTGCAACATCTGCAAGAGGTGCTGGCCCTGGCCGTCGACGAGCAGAATTCGCTGGCAGCATGCCGAAAGCGTTCATCTTCACAACCATCTAGAATCTGGAGCACTTCCTCCTGCTCTATTGCTGCTCTATTGCATGCTCATGACTTTGGGGCAGCCTGTGCAGACACGGAAATGCTTAAGGGAACGACCTGCAAAGGACGGCTCCAACATTAAACACTGTCGATGCTTTTGACGTCTGAACTTATTTCCAAAACTTAGTTGGGTGTTGTGTGGACGTTCCTACTTTGACGGTAGCGGGGTGGGCGTCGTCAGAACGACTCCGGCTCTCCGACTAGAAAACCCCTCGATCACATACAAGCTTCCCCTCCGCCCCAACCTCGCACACCCCCGTCACCGCCACGATGCACAGCACCCCCTACCACCCCCCACCCACGGCACCCCCCCAAAACCAGGAACGGTTCTCTTCTGCATCGCAAGTCTTTTGTTTAAGGTTGAATGTAAGGGGGTCCTAGAAGGCTTAACACAAGGGTAATCTAGAATGCAGGGGCTTCGGTTTTAACGTCCTGCATGGAAGGATGCCAAGTTGCTCCAAAGTTCTATTACCATACAATGTTGTCTAATTTAGTGACCTGAATAACTAGAAATTAGAGTAAGAAACCGTTAACAATAATGGGCTAGTAACTATTCTGCCCCTGTATTACCTCCAAACTGGATGCAATCTAAACCCTAAGCCCCGATGACATCTTTTTACGTACATATGTTTATATGTACTAAAATATGTACACACACATACTTGTACACCAAAAAAAGATTCATGGTTACCTGTTCAGCTGCTGAAAGGGCATCGGGCACCAAACCAGAAACCCTAAATAAACTATCAAAGGCTAAACAGAAGAGTACCATAAACCCTGAATGAAAAGAGTGAGCCCCATGTGCACCGCCCTCAAGTCGCTACCCACAATCACTAACGGTCACAAACGCCAATGCTATATGCAAGTCCAAAATTATGCAAATTACTACCCTAAACCCATTGCCCTCCCAAACCCACTTCTTCTTTGAACTCCTGGGCTAAATATGACCTATGCGACTACACTCGTGGCGGACTGCCACTGAACCAACCGCAAAGGCAAGCATCATCCTAATGGTTTCGCCGGCCCGTCACAGAACCCTATCCTCAGACATTTCCTCTCTCCGCCCCCCGAGCGGGTTGGATCGAGCTGGTGCGCCAGGAGGAGGAATGGCAGAATGGAAAGTCAAGGCGGTAGGGTGGCAAGACTTGGCAACAGCAAAGAACCGATGCAGAAAGACCTTTTCAGGGCTTTGCTACAAGAGGCCTTGATTGTCTGCTGTTAAACCCTGTGACTGGACTCCTTGGAGGAGTGGGCGTTGTCATGGACATGTCTTGGGGCATTTGCGAGTTGTTAGAAAAGCCTTCGAGCTGACCCAGTTTAGGGGATCCGGGGCCTGCTGAAGTTGAAACTACATCGACGGTGTTTCGGATGCCAGACCGGGTACCAGGCAAGAAAATCTAAGGGTTTTTTTTGCGATGTAATTCAATTATTCGCCATCGGCAGACATGCTGCATTGGATATGTCAGGGCTGCCGACTGCCTTGCTAGATGACTTGTAATGTAATGGTTAAGGAACTTGTGAAATGTTCTGAGACCATACTGGACCAAGTCTCCCCTGCGAGGCAATTCGGAGTGCAAATATAGAGCAGGAACGAGGCTCATATATGATCCCGGTTCTCGGTT